GCCATATGGTCACTGAAAGTTCCTGCAGTGAAACGTTTCCTACAAAGCATAGCTGCACGTTTTTGAGAGGCCTGAGTAGGTAGTACAAAAGGATCTCGATAAGCTAGCGTGCAGGCAATTGTAAGGATGGGGTCCAGACACTTTAAAACAACAGCACACAGGACCATTTTACCAAGATGTGGTTCTACCGGCAAGTCAGCCAAATGATAACCAAGTTCAGTCAGATCTTCCCATGTATCCATTGCATCTATTGTCTAAATAAAAGGATACAGAACAGAATTTGACATGAGCAAAAAATATATTTAACCAAATCACATACTTTTTAAAAACCCACAAGAAATAAGAATATAAATTTTCTTCTGCTATTGCCAAAATATATTTTTACAAGGAACTATACCTATGGTTTTACCATAATTACCACAAGAGTATTATTCAAAGTCATGATCATTTAAGATAAGTTGTTACAAGTACTAAATTAGTTAAGACATATTCTCATTTGGTTTAAATTTCAAGTAAAAAAGTCAGGTAAAATAAAACTATTAAGACACCAACCTTAAGCATTTGTACAGCATTTCTTACAATTAAAGCTGGTGGAGGTTCAGGTGCTTTCATAAGGAAATCAGCAATGGGACAATTAACTGGGGCTAGCAGCTTGGTATGTAAACAAAGTTCCTATAAACCAAACAGTGAATAATTTTGAAAAATTAAGAATATTATAACATTGACTTTTATATTTAAAGAAATCATGAGAACTACAGTTCCCAGACTCAGACTAGTAGAGTCTGATTAGAATGAACAGTAGAAGGAATATGTCTCTTTTAAAGATGAGCTTATACTCTGTCCTAGATGCCACAAACTTAACTCATCAACTTAACTCATCAAGATTACCAGTGCCCCCATTGTCAACATCTCCTCACACAGTTCTTATGCATAACAATCAGAGTCACTGCCCAAAAGCTAAATCTTTTTTTCCCTTTATATTTATTACATTCTAGAATCTTTTATCTGTTCAACAAGTATTTAAGCGCTTCCTAGGTACAAGGCACAATGCAGCAAGTTGGAGAAAAAGAAGAGGACAAGTATCCACTCTCATGGAGTTTACATTGTAGTATGGAAAACAGACCTTAAACAACTAATTACATAATTAACTACCTAATTACAATTGTGGTAAGTGCTAAGAAGGATACCGGGAGCTAAAGAAAACAAGATTTAGCCAAGTTCAGGAAAGGGCAGGAGAGGAGGCCATGGGAAGTTCATCATAGTTTTCCTGAGGAAATGACACTTAAGCTAAGATATAAAGATTGAGTAGGAGTAATTATAAAAGAAATAAGGGGAAGGAGTCTAAGGAGAGGGGAAGGCACATGTGAAAGCCCCAAGGTAGAAGAAAACAAGATGTGCTTGAGAAACTAAAACTACTGGTGTGAACAGAGAGGATGAATGTCAAGAAATAAAACTGGAGACAAAGGCAGGAATAGGTAATTTAGGCTCTTGTTAAGAATTTTGAATTTTATTCCAGTAGAAATAGAAAATAGCATATAGTCATTGGGAAGTGGGAAATCATCCCAGATACACGGATGTCAAATATGATACTGTGTCTCTTTAAACGTTTGGAAGCCAGCATCTAGCCCAACACACCAAAGAATAAAATTAATGCACTTATGATAGTTTTCCCTAGAAGCTACAATGGCTGTTCCATAAAGTTACAGCACTTAAAGAAAAACAATAAAGGTCAGAAAAATCTTAGTGAATTCAGTTCCAAAACTACCAAGGTAATCTCAGCATCTTAAATTAAGATTTTGACATTATCTTTTGGACCTTAAATAATTTGTTTTCTAATCTTATTGAGAATTTAAAAGGTGAACACTACGTAGTTGAGACTTCTAAAATGTTGCTTAAAATATGTAAACTGCACCATAATTTAAATGTATTTAAATAATTCTTTAAAATTTTGAAGGTTTATGAATTAAATTTTCTTGTATAGAAAATATCATTCCATTATATACATAGCCACCCTCTATAATACATATTTTATAATTTTGTTTTAAAGTCCAAACAATAGCAGTTCAAATGGCCCCTCTCCTCTCTCACCTACAAAAAAGCCTTTTAGAATTAAATAAGTTTCTACCTGTAATGGCATTCTCAAAAGTTCTGGAGTCTGAAATTCCAACATATTCTGGAATCGGAGTCTACTGAATAGACGGAAACAAATTCCAGGTCTACATCGCCCTGCCCTTAAAAATAAAATACAAGATTAAGACTTAAATAAGGAACAAAGGTTATAATGAAGAAACTATAAAAGTAATGTAATTTAGGAGACAGAAAAATGAACCAGAATCAGGACATTTGAGTTTGAGTCCTTATTCTGTCACTTATCCTCTACGAATTCTTTTGGAAGGCACTTCACTTATCTGGGGCTCAATTATTTCATATATAGAGTGAGATTCATGAATGACACCTACCTGATATACCTTTAGGGTTACGGTAAAAATCAAAAGAAATAATAGGCTGGTCATGGTGGCTCACACCTGTAATCCTGGCACTCTGGGAGGCCAGGAGTTCAAGACCAGCCTCAAGAAGAGTGAGACCCCATCTCTACAAAAAATAGAAAAATTAGCCAGGCATGGTGGTGTGTACCTATAGTCCCAACTACTTGGAAGGCTGAGGCAGGGGCATCCAGCAAGCTCAGGAGTTTGAGGTTGCAGTGAGCTGTGATAATGCCACTACACTCTAGCCCAGGAGACAGAGCAAGATCCTGTCTCAAAAAAAAAGAATAGAAAGAAATAAAAGGCATACGTATGAAAGCCAGTAAAAAGCAAAGCATGAAAAAATATTTGGTAATTTAAATTCAGTCAATTTTACTGAGCTGATTTCAAGCACTGTGTTCAAGCCCAGTGATCAGAGTTGTACAAATTGTGCATTATACAACTCAAAGGGAGTGTCATTTATCCCATTATCATAGAAACTTGTATAATTTTATGGAAGTAGCAGAAAAATAACTTGAAAAAAAGCAATCTCTTAAATTCACCCCAAGTTTCTGTACCAGCTAATGGCAGGGCTAAATATGCTAAGTAATAGAGATGTCAAAATATCTCTGTCTTCATGGAGCTCACAATCCAGACAGGCAATCATCACTATACCACAATGTGATAAGAGCTACAAAAGCTGACTTTGTTGGACCACTCCTTCCTTCATCAAATATGAGGGAACTTCAAAAAGTTCAAGGAAAAATGAAATAA